CAGCCTCGGCAGGCACTGAGTCCCCTGAACATTAGGAACCCTGACACAGGTCACCTCCGTGCTGCTGTTTCGGAGCAGCAGTGTCCGAAGGCATCCTAACGGGATGAGTTATAGCTCTTCACAAGATGGGAAGACACTGCTGTTATCACGTTATCACCATCCTCGTCTTAACAGAGGCTGCGTAGCAAGATCGTGTGCTGTGGGAACACGTATTTGCTGGCCTTTGCCAGCAAGATGGGGAAGAGGCTGAAGCTCCTTTAGCTGACCCATTTCTCCCTCCCAAAATAACAATGTCTGTGTAATAATAATAAAAAAAATCCCCAATTTTTTTAAAAAATACTTTATTACAATTATTACTGTTAAGTTAAGTGATAGTTAACAGATCTGCTTTTGGTATTACAGAATCCATTGATACAATGCCACTGATAATTGATCCCCAGCTGACACCAGTATCAACAGTGGAAATACTGTAGCATCACACAGGAAAGTAACAAAGCATTTACCAGCTGCCTTTGGACAAAGGCTGGCGTGATTGTAATGCATTGCATCAGCCTTTCCAGTACTCGTCAGAAACCACCCTGCCCAGAGCTCCTCCGCCGGAGCGAGGCGGTGCGTCCATCCCCCTCGCGCTGCCTGACTTCTCTACTGGAGGAGAAAAACCGCTACCACCAAAAAATTCAAGTGGAGTGTTTTTCCTTCATAAATCCAAGCAGCTCTAACCTTCTGGCAATTTAATATTACGTGAATCCAGTGGGTTTTGTCCCTGTTAAAACGGCACAGTATGAAAGACAGAAAGTAGTGATGAGCAAAAATAGTTCATTTTATCCCAGAGTACGAATAATCAAATAAAAGTGTATCAACAGACATAGTAGGATGGCAATCTTAAGAATGAGAAACATGAGAGTACCAAGGAAACAGGCATTTCTAAAAACAAGGGCATCCCCATTATTCAGGTGTGGACTCTGAATTTCTATAAATGTCCAGTGCAATTAAAAAAACCCAAAACCCTCTGGAAAAGGCACACACTGGTACTCCTTGAATAGGAAAGGAAATGAGCCACAGATAAAGACTGGAAATAATGTCCAAGCCTTACTACAAACCCCACAAGAACAGCGGCCAAAAATCAGACAAAAGTAGGCTGTTCTGTATCTTAACAAAACGGTGTTTTAATTTACAATTTCCTTTTCACGAGAAAATTGAAACAGAAACAGTGACGTGAACGTAGTCTTTTTGAAGTCAAGGCTGACCTGACTGTTAAGAGAAGAGAAATGCTTTGACTGCTTAAGTAAAGATCGGAAATCCTGTTGTAGTTTCTAAGTGTGTCATAACAGACTTAAAGATAGAATTTAAAAACCGGGTAATTCACCCAGGACTAAGTGCAGCAACAAAGCTAAAGACAAACTAAGAGAAGCTGCAGAAGAAATGGGAACCACGAACTTCCCTGCTAGCAAACGATGCGTACGCAGAGAACGACGGCGCAGCAGATAGAGAGGACTGGTAACAGGCGTGGCGTTACAGGAAACTTTATTGCACCATCACGCATACATCTTAGCAACGTAATCATGACGGCACCTGCAATTCTTGTCTTTTTTAAATGAATATGGACACTGCTTGCATCTGCTAATTAGTAAGATTTAGTAGTTAATGAGGACTTTTTTTTTTATAAATTCAGCTGCCAGCATTCATTCATTTACTGCCCATGGTACTTCTCTTGGGTCTTCTGGGCCCTGGTCCTAGCAATTTCACCGTCAGCTTTCCTACTCCCTTGCTTGATGAAGTCCCCTCAAAAGCAGGGGATGCACTTGTACTCCTCTAGGTAGGAATTTCAACCGAATGTTTTTTTTCTTCAGTAAAATGGATAAGGCACACAGTATACTTCAGGATTATTTAAAACAAAACAAAACAAAACAAAAACCAAACCACAAAACAACCCAAGATATTTGTTCCAGTATTTTATTACATAAAAAGTTGATTGTCCATTGGAAATTTTTCGCAAAGTGCAACCACATCTTGTGTAGTACCATTGGCAAACTGTTTTGTTTGAGAAGGACAGCTGCGTTAAAAATATAACGATACCTTAGAAAGCTTCGTTCTGGCACTAGAACAGAGAAAAAACACTAAGCTGAGTGGAGAAAGGCAGCAGACTTTTTAGCTGTCATGAAAGCAGATGATTTTCCACATACCTCTGTGTAGTACTGAAAAAATAAGGAAATAATAAGAGATATCATCACCACCCTAGTTGTTGAAATTAGTTTTAAAAGCTGTACCTGAATTGCCTGTATGTAGAGCCAAAAAGCTGTTATTGGAAGTCTGATAAGTCTTAAACGTACACCACCTATAAAGTGGAGTTCAACAGCTGCTGGGGTACTTGTAGAACATTAATGACCTTAAGTAACTTTTTGAAGATATTTATTTATATATGAAGTGATATTGTGTTCAGTCCTCTCGAATCATTACAAAATAACATGTGCTTAGGTAACACTGCACCAGGACAAGCGCTGGCCCCTCAAGGACTTAGGAGCTTTAAATGGGAACGTAAGTTGTTTTGGAGTAGAGTTATGAACTGCGAGACCAGAAAAAGACTGGCTGGTGAAGTTCCTTCCAGACTGCCACATTATACTTACCAGCATATTTAATTATTTGTTGAGTGCAAAGCATGAAAAAGGGAGAAGAAAAATGGAAGACAAAAAAGGCAGTATTTTGTATTTTATATCAAAAAGCAACCCTCAAGTCATTACTCCTATTAAAAACCTAAAAAAAAAAAACCAAAAAAAAAAACCCAAACACTTTAAAATTTAAATAAGCTATGTGGCACAAAACATGCCTGCATTTGGCATAGGCAACTTAATGACTCAAACCAACCAAACAAAAACCCCAGTCAATCGGCTGGCTGAATTTCAACAAAGCTGCCCCCTCCTTTTAACTATACAGGGAACAGACCCGGCCTACTGTAAATGTAGATTTATAAATAACTAAAGTATCTGTTCTCAAAAGTTGGGCTATAGCTGTAGTGTGGTAATTGTTTCTCCTCCTTGGCTAATTTGCTTTTGTATTATTTGTATACTGTTTTGCATTGCTTAATTATTGAGCTCAGACGAACCCAGTCTCATCAAAAAAGAAATCATGTTTACGTTTCATAACATAAGGAAAACTACAGAAACCGCATTTCCACACATTTCTGATCATAATCTGAACTGGCATTTCTACACCACAGATTTAAGTTGTAAAAAGAAACAACTCATTAATATTTCATATTTATAGTTTCATCTGACCTCTGTTTGTCTCTTGAGATGAGAAGCAATATTCTTTAAAAAAAAGGGAGGTGTAAACCCAGAACACTTGACAAAATGATAAATTAGTTAGGAAAAAAGAAATGGACTGTACATCTCTCCTCAATGCAATGCGATATCCAAATATCTACAGAGACTCTTCTCAACTCTGCTACACATTTGGATTAATAGTAGAATATGAAAGTAATACAGTTAAATCTGAAGAAATACATGATTTTCATTTTTCCACTCAGACAGACAGGCCCGCTTAATGAAGCGTGGCCAGAGGTTTCTTTAACCCCCAATTCATACAAATATAATTAAAATTAAATAAAACTGATCACCTGGAACTTTCATCAACATCATTTAGTCCTTATGTACAGAAACCAAAGACGAGTTAGTCTGTCTCCTGAATACCTAACTGAATACCTATTTATTTAAAAGGTTTTACTACTCAGTGGAACAGTAAGTTTAGTGATACCGTTTATTTTAGAACAAGCACTCAGTAAGTCACAGTTTCCCACTTTTGATACTGAAGTATTCCACAAGATCAACCATTATGGTTCAATTAGGACCTGTTATCCAAAACACTTGGATTTTAGCACCTTAAATAAAGAGTCAAAGTAACATCTTAGTAGTATCGAATGAAGACAGTTAATAACTGTGCTCATCCTCTGGAAAATGATGTGGACCATACATACTAGGTGCATTTAGTCATTAACACATAGTAAGGCAGAAGGGAAACAATTCTAAGCGATGCATTTGACTGAATACAATCTGAATAATAAAACCTTCCTAATTATACAAAGTCTTTCAAGGAGAAATCAAATTTGCTCCCATACATCAAGCTTCATAGTATTTAAAGCAAATGTTCATTTACAATCAACCATGTCAGTCGGGAATCTGTACCCCAAAAAAAAAATACAATCTGGTTACTAAACATCAGTAAGCAATATGTCTAACGCAAAGTTGAACTCTGTACTGTAACTAGTGCTTTTTCAAAGATTTAAACAAACTTTTAAACCAGTAAAACAAGTTAATTTCAGAGTTGAAGCTATTTCTTCTAGCTCACTGTCTAGACAATGGGGCATACATAACGTTTGCTTCCACAGGCACAGTTCTTTGGCAGCAGTAGCAACCGGAATGGCATGAATCCGACTTTCCCTTTCACCCCGACACCGCTCACGTGGGTACTGTGATTCTGTTAGCGTCCCAGCATCACTTCTGATGGGTACAGAATCTCCTTTCTGCACTGATCTGGAGTGCATTAGCCAAGTATCTGCCTAGCTTCTACCCTGCTTCTAAGCACTTCTGTGGATTTCTGGGGACAGACAGAAGGGGTTTTGCTTATTTTAAAGAAACAGGCAGTCTAACCAGACATGTCCTAAACGCTGTAATTTCAGGCATCTTTGGCCACTGTAACACTATTCTTTGCAATTTTAGGAAGTTTTGCCAACCGAGCCTAGCAAACTGGCTTCCAAGAGAATCTTTTAGCACTGTACGCTGCTACCTAACAGCAGCTGTGAATCAACGACCAGCTTGCATACCCAAGATGGACACAGCTACTACAGATGAACATCAGTGTATTCTGAGATTATATTTCTTCTTTTCCACTTAAATTAAGCTTGTGATGTTAGACACACAGATTTGTATGTTAATTTTAAACAACAACAAAAGCATAAAAAATTACGAACTAAAGTAGTCAATTGCTGGTATTAAACATTACCTTTCCTGTAACTAAACAAATAGCCAACATTAATAAGTAAACTGGTGAATTTCAACATACAAGTCTTTTAACCTCAGTAATCTCTGCTTCCTTCCTTTCCCCCCCCCCATAAAGCCAGGAATTGTATGGAAATTTAGTTTCCCTTCAAGGAACAGCAGAGCAGTATTCAGTCTGGTTAACGCGGCCGTCATAGATCCTCTCTCTGTTTGGTTGCTCGGTTGTCCTCTTTGATGCTATTAGATTTCTTGTCTCCGTCCTTTTTCTTCTTTGTTTTTTCAGGTTTTGTTTTGTTTTTCACTTTCTCACTTTCTTCTGCTCCTTTGCCAGGATAAACCTGACCTTCCAGAGTAACATCCGCACACCTTTCTTGATTTATCAGAAAGTCTTTGATCTCCCAGGCATAACCGCCATCACGTAGCATAAAGATGGCACGATTTGAGCCAACAATAAACCTAGAGGAAAGATATAAGTTAGCTTCATGCCCTTCAAGCGCTACAACGTTTTGCTTAATTCAGAGCACCTCCACAACAGAGGCATACATTTAAGAGCAAGAACCTAGTATTGTTGATGTTGCCTGGGGATGGGGACAAGAGAACAATTTTCTAGCACACTTAATAATAAACTCTATTAAGTTTACAAATAACCAAGGAGGAGTAAGAATATGGAGAAAACTTAAGAACTAATTTGGCACTATGTAAAAGCCACTAATGGACATTAAATTTGCTTTATACACTTACTGCAACCCTTCTCAGCCTCAATTCAAGAGCGCAACATTCCTCTGTTTCACAATGATCCTCCCTCTCTGAGAGAAAAATCACATTTTTCAGTCAGGGGAACAAAAAGCCTTTTGTGGTGACATGTCTTCCAAGTGTGATGTTTTCCATCAAGCACATAAAGGCAAACTACTGCAGCTAAAACTGATAAATAGCTGGAACGTAACGAGACAGAAAGAAACTAGGCTATACATACATCATGCATAAGTGTTAAAAACCTGTGTTGTGCACCACACCAGAATTTTTGTAGCATGACATAAAACGAATTGGTATATAAACTGATACAGAAACAAAGGAACAGTGACTGACCACAGAGGCGGGGAAGGGCACAGGATGAACAGTTGAAAAGATTTTCAGGAAGAAAGAAACAAGGGTTCTGTAAAAGCAAGAATTTTATCCTTGGGTACAACAGCTTACCTTTGCACATCATAGTTTGCATTGAAGAGACTGCCCTGCCACAAGCTAGTAATCTCTTCCGTCTCCTTTTCTGTGGGATTCCCCGACACCGTGACAAACATCATCAAAGTCTTCCCCTTTTTCGTCAGCTTCAGGATGCTTTCAGGCTTGCCTGGATCAATTTTCGAGAAATCTATTGGCGCTGGAGGCCTCTTGTGTTCAGGAAGATCCCCCTCTTCAATGTCATCATCCTTCTGTTTTCAAAAAGGAAAAGGAGGCTTTGAACTCAACTGTTCCACAAAGCTGTTCTTTTTTGAAACTTCCCATTCTCAAATCAAAAGAAACAGTGAGTTTCATCTCAAGATACTTCACCAAAAGTGCTCTTCCCATTTATAACCCTGCCCTCAAAATGATGCACATGTTGATACCAACAGGTAGAATCTCGTTTTACCATGTACTAAGAAATATTTCAGCCACAAGGCTAATTGAATACAACTCCATCTAGGCACTTCATAAAGTAACACTTTTTTTCTTCACAGTTCCACAGAAATTGATTAAGTATACAAGATGGACTGAGAAAGTTGCACTAAAAAGCCTCATACACACATAAATAAAAAAAGTCGTCCATCTGCATATTGCTTTTAGAGGTCAAAACTCACTTTTAGGAATCATGCGATCACTTGAGAATTTAATTTTCCTTGCTTTGTGTCTTTAAATTAAAAAAAAAAGGCAAGAATTCAGAATTTCAATGCTCATGCCACAAGAAAACTTTTCTTAAGGTTTTCATGACTTTTCTAATGCACAGATGAAGAGCAGCTCACATTCTGACAACATAATCACCAAGAGTAAATCACTGTTAGAAAACAGAAAGAACACTCTTGATGCCTCTGCTGAGGTCGACAGGCATTTAAATATTTGGAAAGGCAGAATTCAAACTGCTGCCCTTAAAACAGCTCCCGACAGAGAGAGGAGTGAATACAGTGACAACTTACATTGAGCTAGAACTTGATTTCTTAAACAGTATTTGTATCACAGAATTAAAAAGAAAAAAAAAAGGCCAGAAAAACACAGAAGTCTTATACTGCCATTCACCCAAGCACTAGTAAATCAGCAGGAAGACTTCAAACATTTAGCAAAAATATGCATCACTCCACTAGGAACATGAACTGAAGTAATATCTAAGATATTCAGGAGCCAAGCTTGATTTTTAAATCTAAGTATGGAGTACCTTCTCATCTCCGCACATGCAGATACACAAACTCAACAACATCCTCTTGCAACATCCCACTACAGGGAACATCCCATACCCTTTAAAGGCTAAGGTTTCATACGAGTGACCTTCTTTTCACATCTCCATTACATGGAACTTGCTCTCTTTCTGGCAAGGGTGTTTAAAATTTAGTTACCGCAGAATAGAAGTTGTAGAAGCCTTAGATTTCATCCTTTCTTTCCTTGCTAATTACGTATCTGTTTCAATTTTGCAAGTCTGAAGCATGCTTTCAAGTAGTTCACATGCCTTTGAAAATTCCACATTAAGTGAACTGGGAGCAAAGGAGAGCCCCAGGAAAGTCCCGCTGCCCTCACTAAGCGGGAACAATAGCTATTTTAGAGGAAGCTGGAAAATGCTCATATTGGTAAAGTACTGTGAAAATACACAACCTTACATGATTCAATGAAAACGATTCTCCAGAAGTAAAAGCAAATGAATTCTAATTTTAGGCCAGTTTGGCTAGTGCAAAACCAACTTATTTCACAGTTTTGAAAGAGAAAGGCAGGAACAAATGTTCCCAAATACACCTTACACGATACAGAAATTGACTTTGGATTTAGCAACAACACAATCTAATAACATATATTACTTATTTTTCCCTTAACTATTCAAGTAGATGTTCATAAAGCTGTATTGTTACAGTTTAAATAGAAATATTACAAGAACCAGTCAAAAGCTCCCCTACATGACACTTCTCTTCTTGATCCTGTACAAACTCTCATGCAGGTTTGTATTTATAAAGCTATCTACAAAGTAGAAGACTGGAAGAAAAGTGTAAGCTTTTGCTTTGAAATGTCTAGCAGATTCATTCATTTAAACAGTAACATGAGGCTTCAGAGGGAAAGCATTACATAGACACAGTAATAACTATATATTCCTCCTCCTTCTCCTCCCCTCAGCTCCCATTCTCATGCGTTTCTCATCAATGCCCTGGATTTTTATTTTTAAAAATATTAACAACATATGTCAACCAATTCCTTAGTCTATTCAATAATCTTAGCTCAGAGTCAAGCCTGAGAAACCCTGAGCTTGTAACAATAATGAACTATTTAAAGAATATGACATTTCAGTAACAGAAAGACGTCCGGACAAGAGTCTCAGTTCTGTTTCCAGCTCCTCTGGACCCAAGGCTACTGGAGAGTCCCTTTCCATGAGGAAAATCTCTAGGTGGCTTCTTCCAAGCTCTCGTTGTGCAACAGAGCTGCTGAAGCAACCTCTATCTCTTTTCCCCCTTCCCCATGCTCATTTTCCACTCGATCGCTCTCCCAGTTCACCAGGCAGCCACGCACGTGGTTGCACCAGCACGGTGCAAAGGGCAGCACAAGAGCCCAAAGAGAGCGATGGCTGCTCACCCTGGGAAGGCTGAACCCAAGGATGTTATAGCCACCATCCTCCAATGCTTTTAGACTAATTGCCAGGGAAATAAAAAATATTAGGAGTCATCTCACTCAGTTGAAAGTAACGACACTGGATTCTGTGCAGATCTGTGCCCTGTGCCCCTCACTCCCGAGCATAATTCTTGCTCTTATCCAAATTCATAATGGCCCCTTTGTTTCTCATCCCACCCCATCAAGTCCACTCATGCCCCTTCTTCTCCTCTATCCTCCAGCCACCACCCCCTCAAGTCTTTCATGTTCTTTATGGGTCCTAACTACCATCAGGCAAAATGCCATACAGCCGACCATCCCGAAGAGCAAACAACTGTTAATTGTTGAGCCCCTGCTTCAGTAACTTTTTTCTTCCAGGGCTCTGGCTGTGTGTGCGTCTCCTCAGCGGCAACGCCAGCCCGAGCAGCCAACTCCCCAGCTGCGCAACCACATCTGCACGCAACACGGCCACAAGCGTTTGTGCAGCACATGGTGAACTGGATCAGGGACCTGCTCCAGCGAAAGAGGAAAAACCCCAAGCAGCATCCTGACCCTGCCTGCCATGTGGCTGGAACACAACATACAGCCAAAGAGTCACGACAGCGTTAACTTGAGTCTCCCTTTCATCCAGGCATCTAATTCACAAACTCGGACATGGTCATCCTTTAAGATTTTTCCTACAATGCCAAATTTGGTTGAAGTTGGCCAATATTATCATTTAAGCCTTGATTTTTTAGCAGCTGGGACTACCTGGTCCTTGGCTGATACCACTAAGAGAAAGGTGAACTCCGAGCTTTTTACATAACTTTATTTAAAGTTTTAACCTGGTTTTCTAAGACTCTCCCTTCCTAAAGGGAAAGACACAGTAACAGTCCACGGGATGAACAAGTCCATAACCTGCCAGCCAGGTCCAAGGCAGACATCCTTACTTCTCACAGAAGTTACTTCATCTATATTACACGTACCAAACCTCCTTCTGCACCCTGACTTACAGCTGTAACTGGCGCTACAGGAGACGGATGTTTTCACTCTATTATTTCCTCCAGTTTTTGTGCAAAACATTCTGGGGAACAGCCTCATGGGAAAGAACAAAGGACACCGATGAGTGCTCTGGCATTTACCAGAAGATGATGGAAGAGACAAATAGTGGAAAGAACCAAAGAGTGGCATAACAACCACATGGGGAAAATAGTGATGGGGACCGGTCAAAGAAAGTTAAGGCAGCGGGCTGACGGACAAGAGACAAGAGAGAGCTGGAATTAGATGAAGTTGTTACCAGGAGGAATGGCAAGGAAGGAAACACCAAACCAAAAAAACAACTACATATCTAGTCTGTAAACGTGAAATGATTATTTCTCCTGCTATCCATCCTTTGATCACAAAACGTATATCCCTTAATACCCCAAAACAGCAGACATTTAAGCCAAACCAGGCTGCTGGCATGCATCGACAGCGTGTGTTTGGGGTCGGGCGCTGGGAGGAGGGAAGGGGGCAGCAGGGCAGGCTGGGGGCACCGGGGGTGAGGGCAGCTCCCCCAGCAGCCCACTCTGTGCCCCCTCGCCCCCATTTTGTAACCTCCCGCCCCGAACCCAGAGCCTCAGAGGAAGGGAAAAC